GGTTAATTTTGTGGTAATTGGTAAATGCTTTAGGTTAATTTTGTTGGTTAATTTTGTAGGCAATTAGGCAAATCAAATGGAAATGTCAAATTTTAGGTTAATTTTGTAGGCAAATAAAAATGTTACTAAACCATTGATTTTGTGCCCCCTACAATATATTTTTCTGCGTCCGCCACTAGGCTGAGGGTAAGACTCTTAGGGTGCGTTTGGTTTGCAGGAATGTTTCTGAGGAATTTGGATTTGCAGGAGGGATTTGGATTGAATTGGATTTAAAATCCATTCCTGTGTTTGGTTTGTAGGATTTGGATTGGATTTGAAATCCATTCCTTTATAAATCATGTTTGGTTTGTAGGATTTGGATTGTGATTTTTTTTTCTTTTGTAATTATTTTAATCACCAAATCCCTTTCATTTTCTTAAACCTATCTATTTAACCAACAAACCTAAATATTTAACAATCAAACTTTTTCATCCAAAATGCATATTTAATCAACAAACATATTAATCCAAAATACATATTTAACAATCAAAATTTTCCATCCAAAATACGTATTTAACCATCAAACTCGTTAATCCAAAATACAAATTTAACTACCAAATTGTTCTTCCAAAACCACACATTTACCCTCCAAAATTTTCATTCATTTAAAACCCAATTGACGTAAGCTTCCCTATCCGCTTCTTGCAAATCCCAAAACATGTTCACCTTTTCAGGATCGTCTCTTATCAATGAAATTACTTTAAACTTCTCCGGTTGGGCCAATGTTTGCATTTTGATATCTCAGAAGTGATCATCCAACGTTTCTTATCAAGTTTTTCTTCTCGTTCGACGCCCTTGTTAAGTTTGTTCGCCATTTTCTCCAAATTTAGTAACCACATTACTAAATCCCTCGGCTATGGGATCTACTCGACGTTTTCTCTTCTTACCACGCGCACTTGAAGTTTCTTTAGATTGCGTATTTGCATTCCCACCGTGAACATGGACAACTATCTTAAACCATTCCAATGACTCTTGTCTCCTTTGCCTATGTAACCATCTTGTTAAACTAAGTCGATCCATTTCTTGTCCAATTACTCAAATTGTTAAACATATAGAAGCTGTAGTGTTTATCGGCAATATATCAATACATTATCATCTAATAAAAGCTATATGTGAAATATCTCATATTCATTCCGACCTTTTTCCTTGAATGATTTATACTTGAACAAAAGCTTGAAAATATGTAATTTATTTCAATCCAAGTCTTGAGGCATTCCCAACCTCAAATGAGAAGTTGCTCCAGTGAGTTTTTCTTTTTATATTTGGTGGATAAAAAGCAAGGATGTAGAAATTAGAAAGACTTGGGTATATGGTAGCTGCAAGCTAAGTACCTAGCATCTCTAAAGACTACACACCATTAACAATATGAGATGGTTGTAATTGCAAAGGTACCAGAAATGATATATGTCATATTGTATGCAACAAAGAACTAGGGTTGAACGTGTTACTGGTTTTGTTCTTGCTATATGGGGGATATTGTTTTATTCTCGCTTATTGAGCACAATGACAGAGCAGTTCAGGGTAGGTTCTTGAAGCTTTTAATGCACCAAACCTCAACACTGGGATTTAAATGATATGCCCATTTGTACAGCATAACATGTACAATCTTAGAGAAGGAGCCCAAATGCAAGTTCTAGAAAGTGATCATGTAATTATTTGTGGATTTAATAGTCATCTGAGCTTCATATTAAAGCAGTTGAACAAGTATCATGAGTTTTCTGTGCGATTAGGTACAACTACATCTAGTTAATGCCTTCAATATTTTAACTTCTCTATGTTATATAAGTGCATTTAAGTGTAATATATCATAAGAACTCATAAACAGGAGGCAGAGAATTCTTCTTTTGTCCGATATCCCAAGGAAGCAAATGGACAAAATTGTCGATTAAGGCCTTAATCATTTCATGTGCAACACGTTGGTTTGGTTAAGGCCTTAATCATTTCAGATGCTTCTTTGCATAAGACCCCCAAAATGCAGTCCAAAAAAAAATGCTTCTCAGATGCTTACTGTAGTAGAAAAAAGCATCAAATTAAAACCCCCAAAATGCAGACCAGAATCGAGAAACAAGACAGGAAGAAGTTAAAGAATCAATAAAATACTACAAAAGGGGTTATATGATTTACCTGCTGAATGATGGGAGAAGGCGGAAAACAGGAAGGGCGGTTTAGGGCGCAGCTTCGCAAGGGGAAAGGAAGGCAGCACCAGCGAGGAGGCAAACCGATTAGGGCACAGCTTCGCAAGGGACGAGACGAGAAGGGAGCACCGGCGAGGAGGACTGGTTAGGGCAGGAGGAAGCGATGGGAGGGAAGCGATGGGAGGAAGTCTGGGTGAAGGAAGCGGGAGGAAGGTGGGTGAAGCAATCGACAGGAATCGATGGGAAGGAGAAGCCCGGATTTGGATTTCAAATCCCGCTGGTTTGCAAATGATTTCCAAATCCCGCGTCTAATGGATTTTAATGAAATCCCCGGATTCCAAATCCCTCCAATTTGGCAAACCAAACACAGGATTGAAATGAATTTTAAATCCAAATCCCTCCAATTCCATTCTATTCCTGCAAACCAAACACACTCTTAATTTTGATTTATGTTTTGTTTTATTCAATGGCGGATCTAGAATTTGTAGATAAAATTTGTAGATAGTAAACTTATCATGATGTAGACAATTAAATTTCGGTAATAGAGATTGTAGTAAGATAATGAAGATTAAAGTGTTGGTTTTGTGTTAGTAATAAAAAATTTAAATGGTTTATATAGTGGAGTTGATGAGGAAAAAGACAAAATAGAATAGTATTGTATTAAAAATGAGCAAAATACTAGGAAGAAAAAAAGAAAATCGGACCAATGGTTGGGGCCTTATGCACCGCGCACTAGCCGGTACGTAAGGGTGGTCAAGCCATCACATGAGGGTCAGTCCTCGGTCAAAGCAACTTTTTTTGGCTATTTGTCCCCATTCACATGGCTTGGTGGGTAAAGAGTAATGTAGGGTTAGTTTTTCAAAGTTTTAAAATTTAGGGTTAAAAATGTATTTTTAAATAATTTAGGGTTATTCTGACAATCCCATAGAAAATGTATGGCGGTGGGATGATACGACATCGTTTCGGAAAATGAGTCAAAAACGTAAACGTTTCGTAGAGAAATACGTTTTTACCATTCTAGCCTTTCATTTCTGGTGATATTCGTTAAGCCACCAAAACTGCATATGGTCGAATGACTATCGTACCCCTAGACCAAAACTTTGTCATTTTAAAGGCAAAATATTATTAAATAAATTTAAAAATTTCATGGTTGATATAATAATTGATTTAAATACATCTAAAATTGTGAACAGGTCAAACCGTCAAAGTAGAAAAGAAATTGAGTTCGAGGAAAGGGAGGGTATAATGGTAAATTTAAGGTCGAAAGATGCCATACGCAAGCTTTTCTTGGGCTCCAAGCATGTTGAGCAACTTCCAAGTGGAAATTTATCAGAATATTCGTTTACCTAAAAATGATTATTTTAAATAATTTCCCATTTTTTCCTCTTTATAAACATAAATATATAATAATTTTATACCCTCTTCATTAACCTGCAATAATGGCCCACGTATATGTGCATGTACCATGTAGACCCCACATGTTTCTAAATTAAAATTTTATATTACTAATTTAGATAATTATATTAATTTTGTAGTAATGTTTATATAATTAATTTTACTATAATAATTTACTAATTACAAAGTATATTATTTATTGAAAATATTTCATTTTATGTGAAAATTAAAACTAAGGGGCTGTTTACCAACACTTATCCAGGTAAGTGCTTACCGGAAAAATTCAAAACTATCAATTACATATCGGGTAAAATTTTAGACCACCAAAACGGTACGTATGCAACAATTAACCTAGTAAGCGCTAACCATGTTAAGAGTCGTCGTTTCACTTACCGAGTGAGACTCTCAGTCCGTGACTTCGCTCTTACCGGGTAAGATTTTTGGTCTTACCGCGTAAACGCTTACCCGGATAAGCGTTTGGTAAACGGTCTCTAAGTATTTAAAAACATCTTTCATAAATATATAATTGTTTTTTTTATCAATAGAAGACATTGAGATTACTTGTTTGAGAGAAAAATAATATTTTATTAAATGTACTGAATATTTTAATAATACAATTAATGATAAAATTATTAAAATAGAGTAACTGTAAGAGTTGGATACAAATTTTTTTCCAGAGATTTTAATTTTTAGTACTTTATTTTAAAAAAATTATAACATAATTGTTACAAATGTTCTAAAATGTGCATGCACAATTGAGTATGATAATCTTAAATTTGAGGCTGAGGGACTCTTAATTTTGATTTATGTTTTGTTTTATCCAATGACGGATCTAGAATTTGTACTGAACGAGTGTACTTTTAAGGTGGATTAAGGACTTGTAAAGTCGTCCGATGTTTATTTTTTGGCGAATTCCACCGTTTCAAGAAATTTTGTAAACAAGTTGATTTCAAGAAAAAAAAAATCGGTATTTTGCTATATATTTCGAAAGACTTTTTCTATATGTATGTATTTCAAGGGATTTTTTCAATTTTTTGGTTCTCTTTCCATGTATTTTCGGGATAAAAATAACTTTTTTCCGAAATCATAGTCTCATTATGTTCCACCAATGGAATTAAGACATAATGAATTTTATTTGTTTTAATTTTTTTAATTTATGTTCACATGGTATCTCCAATTATATTTATTTATGTCATTGATGGACAAAGAAAATTTAGAACAAATGATTTATCTGTATATTTTTAATATATCAATTTAGCATCAATTTGCACCTTTCATACACAAAAAAAATTCTACTTGCAAAAGTCGGTTAAGCGGGTGCACAGGGATCCCGATGATGCTTCATAGGTCCCTTGAGTTCTATTCTTTGTCCTTATCGATTTTATTTTATGTTTTTGTATGATTTTTAGAGATTAAAAATGTATTCAGTTGATTATTAATTTTATAGAGCATTAGGTCATAGTTTATCGGTTAATCTATGCAGTTCAAACAGTAGGTTCTATATATATATATATATATATATATATATATATATATATATTTATTTATTTATTGTAACTTAAATTTAAGAGTTTTTAAGAAATTAAACATAATGTAATGTTTAATAATATGGAAAGATATTAGTATGAATATATATTCTTGCATGTGAATATATTTGCAATCGAAATTTTGTAAAATTTGTTAAATTATTTGAAATATATATAAGCGAAAGATCGTGTGAGAATAAAAGTTAAGGTGAAAAGTGTAAGAAAAGATATAGATCATTGATCACATTTAATCCAAACACACCCGTTAATTGCGCTTAATACGAGGATTAATCTGGTGCATTTCATCCTAATTAATGTGCATTCAATTGTGGAGATATGTTCTTACGTTTCTCACCTTAATTATCCTTATCACTGAAACTCAACTCTATATATATTGAGTCAGGTTCCGGTGAGAAGAGAAGTTATGATGAGAAGCGTAGGAAGAGATATTCACCTTTTAATCAGTCATAATTGAATGCCAACATTTATGAGGTGCACCAAGATATATGCACAAGATCAATTCTCTTCTAAAGCGTAATTTATGAGTAAACATGAGATTAAAAGTGATCATTGGTTCAAATATTTTCTTATGTTTCCTTACTATAATTACTCTTCTCACACAATCATTCGCCTAATATATATATATATATATATATATATATATATATATATATATATATTCTTGAGAATATTTTTTAAGGCAGAGTTCAATCGAGAACGCTTTCATTTTACAAAAACACGAGAACATCATTTTACTATAAACAATCACATGTGATACTATTATTTCATTATTTTATCATACATGATGCATATGTGATACTAAATCATATACATGGACGACTTTTGATGTGATCTAGGTTGTAGGCCAAGTCCTCATTCCACCACTAAACCCCCTCACATGTACTATCACATGTAATAAATGTGTTATTTTAATAGTACGATCCATCAAGACCATCACATGTGATACTAAATCATAGACGCAGACGACTTTTGATGCGACCTAAAGTCGCATGACACAGTATCCGCATACCACCAGGTCCTCTCACATGTATTATTACATATAATAAAGATGTTCTTGTATTATTATAAACTAAAGATGTTTTCGTTTGAATCTTCACCTATATTTTTATTGATTAGAAAATTAATGATATTGTCGGCTCCCTTAGTTTGACATTTGGTTGAACATTAATTAGATTTTAGGATTTGAAGTTAACTACCGTTGACTATGATATATTCATATTTATTCCAGAAAAACAATTAAATAATTAAAAATATAAAAAAATAGTCGAATAATAAATAATTTTATATTAGAATTACGTGTATAATCGTATATATGATTCATGTGGAACACACGTCACGCCGTACACTCATCTTTACATTGATTATTAATGTAAAATCACATATAATTTTACATAAGATTTAATCGTTTTTCATTCTTTTGTTTAGTTATTTTTTCGTTTGAATTATCCCAGAAAATTACTTACTTTTGAAAAAAATTGATTAAATTTTTACTAAATAATACAATATTCATAGAATCTATACTATATTATAAAACATTTAACAGAAACTCTTAAAAACCATTTTTATGCATGAAGTATTGTTTATTGATGCATATTACTTAAAATTCAAGATTACAAATAAATTGTGCATAAGTACAACTTATTAAAGCTTCATGTTTGAATTCGTGTAACTAACTGCAGATAAACGTAATCAAATAAATGATAAATATCTTAATTTAAATATAAAAAATCTAAAATATAATTAAGATAATTATTGACTTCCAACAAAATACTTGATTATTATTATTATGTTTATAAAAAATTATATTTTTAAACTAAAAATAAAAAAATGAATTAAAGAAATACAGATAAAATGAAAAATTTTAAATAGTTAGTTTGTACTAATATTAATATTTTTTTTTCAATTTTTTATGATATCTTCATATTTATATTTTATTCAAAAAAATAAAAACATCATCGTTTTATCAAAACCACATAAAACTGTATTATAATATCGACTGAGACAAAAAAAAACATTAAAATTAAGATGTATCTCGCTAGATTCTGCGAGTAGCATTCTAGTTATACAAAACATATACAACCTACGGTATAAACTTTTATACACAACCATCGGAATCGTTCGTTAATGGTAACCAATCGGAGCAGGGTACTCCTTGAGCTCATGCCCTCCACACTGAATGTCCTGAAATAAATTAACAAATTAAAATTAACGACTGCTTATAGCGACGGATTTTTGAAATTTAGCGACGGATTTCATAGACGAATTTATAAGATTTAGCGACGAACTTACAGATGCATAATGATTGAGATCACGATGATGTGCTTCGTCTGCACGTATAACCCTAACCACATCTTTCATTGTCGAGTTTTGTGGTAAGCACCAGTAATCTATGGCGATGGCAGGTGCCGGCATGTCTTCCATCACCCCTTTCTCCAGATCGTTCAGAAACTCGGTGTACGAATTCACCGCCTCTTCCTCAAGGTAGCCTGTGATGCGGTGAGCAAGTTTTGGCGACGCCAGATACGCTAGAAAGTACGCGTTAAAAAACACGCCTTGGACCGCGAACACTAGGGCACGTTCATGCCATTTTGGTCGGTATACATCGATGAATGTCATTAGATGCATTCTCTCATTTTCGGCTTCTTCTAGTAACGCCTTGATCCAGCCACCGCTTTGCTCGAATCGACGTAACGATTTGGCGTGCAACAACATTCCTCCGACCATTCCAGGCACCGCAGCCACGGTTTCTAGCAGAACCGCGTGGTGTATGTGTTTTTTCTACAACAATTTCAAAGCCATTGTGAGCTACCCAGAAATTAAAAGGTGTCGCGAAAGGTATCATAAACACTTGCGACGCTTCATTTGTCGCGAATTTCGAACTTTTGCTACACCTTTTTATACAATACCTGAAAGTAGAAATGTGTTGGATACTTGAGGGCTTGGACGATCCCAAATGCAATTTTATCATTCCAAGTGACTGGCTTGTGATGCTTCTTCATATCAATGGAGGTATCTGCTTCATAAGCCTCCCATGGCTGTTACAACAAAAATTAATCCGTTAGTTAATCGACTTCTAATTAAGCATATATAGCCGTAAAACCGATGGTTGATAGTGTCAGCCTCGTTAAATTACTCGTCAAGAGAGCCTTTAAGGATAGAAGAAAGGTTCCAACATATATTAAGGAGAAATGGTCAAAGTCTAACTGATTTGGACTCCTATGCGCCCCTTCCAATGAAGGTTTATGGGCATATATTGCCATCCCTAGAGTGGTAGACTTTGATTCTGATAATATATGATGATATATGGAATCCGGATCAGATTATTTTTCGAAAGAGCATTGAAAAGAAAAACGAGGTTCCAACAATAAATTGAGAAAAAAAGAGACCAAGTTTAGCCAATGTGGATTGCACGACTACATACCCGAAAACAGTTCCATTTCCAAGCGGATCCGTCGGCTTTGGTGAGCGATGGTGGAGCTATCCCCCAATAGCTCGACACTGCTTTCTGATCGTTGTCCTCTTTCTTGTTTGTGCCTAAATCAGAAGCATGTGCACTCCAGTTACGAGCATGCATGGCCAAAACCCTAGCAGTTCCAATGGTTGTATCCATTGGAATCTTGGAGGGCCCCATTATAGACGAACGGGAGGCAAAATGTGACGTTGTAGAGAACAAACGAGGCCTCAGTTGCATTAATAGCAACTGAGACATCTTTGTTGCCGCAACGGCATGGTTTCGGTTCATTTTGAAATCAAAATCTAGAGAGAGAGAAGAATTAATATGAGATTTGATGGTGAAAAAGTGAGGATGGTACAAGGGTTCTTATATGTTACAGGAGGAAGTTGACATGATCCATGAAAGATCAAGGAGAGATCGAATTCGAGATCAAGATGACGTCAGGTCAACCATGAAAAGTCTTTGGTCAAGCTCTAATTAGTGGAATAGTTTGACCCGTTCGTCAACGACATTTTTTATTTTAATATTTAATCGATAAATTTTTAGTTGAAAAGTATTTTAGGTGCTTTTAAGAGAAAAGAAAGAGAAGATGTTTTTATTAATATACCCTTAAAATGTATAATATTTTTAATGTGAAAGATTCGGTAGTTTTATTTAATAAAATTTTAAAGGCTTTTAATTTTTTCGCTTTCTTTTCCTCTCACATTTGAGTGGAAAGTTTTGAGAGAAAACTTATTATTATTTTCTTTCGCTTTTCTTCTTTTTATCTCTCCTAAAAAGGTTTCAAAAACATATTGTTAGTATGTTAAATGTGAAATTTTGAACAAGACTTTCAAAATTTTGGGGTTTAATTTTACATATTTTAAGGCATTTTCATCAATTTGTGTAAAGCTATAGTCCAAATTATTTGGGTTCAAATTGTCAGTTGTTTAGGTTGGGATTCAAATTAAAGCTTTAGGTTAGGTTCAGATTGTTGATCGTTTACGATTAGCGTCCTTCTATGCTTAACGTATCTGTATTGATGTTATCTCTTATACAATGCCATCAGAAATTCTGGATATAATAAAGCCTCAAAAAAGATTGAAACATACTGTTTCGAACCTAATTTAATATTTTATAACTTGGAAATAAATTATTCTAATAGATATTGTTGATGTTTTTTCATCATAATGTATTGAATTTTTGTTGTGTCAATACAACAAAATTAATTTTATATGACCTTTGAAATATCTAAGCATTCTAATAAAATATTTAAATAAGACCTAAGTTTATATGATTAAACTATAGAACATAAAAGTGTACAATAGCTTTATGTAAAGTTTTCAGGTGTTTCAACAAGTTTTTAGTACATTTTTAAAATAAAATGTCATGTTAGATATTTTAAAAATTGTCATATAAATATAAGTGTTCTATAAAAGGTGGGTTTATGAGACTTCTGAAAAATGTTCATATAAAATAGTTCATACAACACTTTATTTTGAAAGTGTTCTAATTCTTTTGTTAAAACCTCTATAAACATGTTGTAACACTTTTAGATAGAACGATTTATAGTTTGGTCTTATAAACTTTAGGTTCTATAAAATGTTTTATCAAAACGCTTAGACATTTTACACGCTCTATAAAACCAATTTTATTATTTATGCTTTTAAAAAACATATTTTAGACAAATTTTTTTCAAAAATATATCTTTTAATATACTTTTTTTTTAAATAGACGGTAGTGGACGAGGGGATTGCTTTTTCCTTGAACAGTTCTTTCAAAAAACGAATCGATCTGATTGATGAGTTATAAGAAGACAATTCATGATTCAAATGCTTAATAATAATAATAAGAAATGATCAAATTGAATTTAACTAAATATTTAAATATTATTATTTTATTAATAGTTTTCGTGTTCCATTTCTCTTTTTCTTGCTTCATTAACTTTACGTTGGCTTCCGTTAATTGCACGCCAAGTTCCTTGGAATCAAATTTAAAACCAATGACAAAAATATTACAGCTTTAATTAAAAAATATCCAAATAAATAAACCAATCACTTACTTAAAAAAGTCGTTTACCAAATACTTGCCCGGTAAACGTTTATCGGTAAAATTTAATACTATCATTTATTCACCATATAAGATTTTAGTCTACCAAAATGGTATCATATGCAACAATTTACCCGGTAAGCGCTTACCGTAGTAAGATTCGTCGCCCTCACTTACTGGTAAGACTCTTGGTCCTTGTCTCGTTCTTACCGGGTAAGATTCTTGATCATTATCATATTAATCCGGTAAACTAATGTGACTTGATGTTCACTTACCGTAATAAGCATTTGGTAAACGACCCCTAACTCAAAATTTTAAATAAAAAGATTTTTATTATAAACAAATTATCGTATCTACAACACTTTATACTTTATAGCGATAAAGGATTATTTAAGAAAGAACCGATATTCCTCATACATAAATGTGTATATTTTGTCATTGGCTCATTTATCAAATGTTTACTAGATAAGTGTTTATCAGCAACGGATATCATTTTTATGAACCTTATTGTGTAACATTCTTGGTCATCAAAATGGATTTTTAGTAAGGGTTTTAAACCTTGTAAGCTTTTTTCAGGTAAAAAAAGATTTCCCTCACTTATTGGGTAAGACTCTCGGTCCTTGCTTTATCTTTTATCGGGTAAGATTCTTGATCATTGTCATACTCAATTGCCAAGCACGTACCCGTTAAATGTTTAGTAAATGATCCTCAACAATTATAAATAATAATTACTAAATAACAAAGGTTAAAAAAGATTGTGAACGTATAAAAAATGTTTCATAGAATATCAGTAGCAAAGAATAAAGGTGCAAATAAATCAAAAAGCGTAATTAAGACTAACCCGACCCTAACAAAAATTTTATGATTCAAGTCTTGGTTAGAGGTGTGCAGAAAATAATCCGATTCAACTAGAAGCGGTCAGTCATAATCAGATATCCAATTGTAATTTGATCAGATTAGATCCAAAATTTCAGTTACTCATCCAATGGTAATCCAACTACCATCCGACTAGTAAATACTATATATAATCATTGACATTTTATGATATTATTTTTAAGTTGATATTCATATGTAGTTTCTTTAATATATTAAGAAAATATATGAATAATTAGTTGAAATGGTGGATTAATTGATTAAAAATTGTTTCAAAATCTGAGATGATCCAATATAATCCTACGAAATGGATAACCAATATAGAGTGATATCTAAGGATGGAACCAATAATCAGATGTTCAATGTTAATTGAATTAGATCAGATGACAAAATCCAACATTCATTGAATGATGGATTGGATTCAGTTAAATTAATTAGATTTTAACTGATAGATACCCCTAATCTCGTTCCTGTAGAAACAGGGTCCCACTTAAAGATTGATCCCATATTTTGCCTTTTCTTCTTCTAATATTTAAACTTTTTATCTATTGGAGTCTAGACCCATTTGTATCTGATATTTTAATGTTTTATGCTATGTCTTATACTTAGGGGCCGTTTATCAAACGTTTATCCGAGTAACTGCTTATCAAATCACATTACCTTACCGGACGAATATGGTAGGGACCAAAAATCTTATCCGATAAAAGGGAGACAAGGACCGAGAGTCTTACCCGGTAAGTGAGAGCGACGACTCTTACCATGGTAAGCGCTTACTGGGTAAATTGTTGCATATGATGCCGTTTTAGTGACTAAGTCTTACCCCGTAAGTAAATGGTAATGTTAAATTTTATCGGTAAACGCTTACCAGATAAGTATTTGATAAACGTCCCCTTATACTTAGCTTTTACTTAATTCTATATTACAATAGTTATTTTTATCACCACTAAAAACAATTATGAATCTACCCATAATCATATATGAAGTTGATTATATGTACACATTTTTGGGCTGTTTGTCCATTTGGGATTATGGCCATTTGTAGCCCAAGGCCAAGCCCAAGCCCATATGGCTTATTGTATAATCTACTATTGTAAAAGATCTACACGAAAAAGGAAATATGATTGAATAGTTGGGTAGGTGTTCTCGCTAGGGGTGACAAAAAATGACCCAACCCATTAACTCAACCCGAATTCAACCCAGAATTAACAGGTTGGGTTGAAATTTTCAACCCATTTAAATAAATGGGTCAAAACCCGTCTAACCTATTTAAATAAATGGGTTGGGTTGGGTTGAATTTTTTGACCTGTTTTCAACCCGTTTTCAACCACTTAAAATATTATATAAATTTATCTTATTCTTAATATTATATCTATTTTATTTTTTATTTTGTTTCTTCATAAATAAATTAGCCCAAGTTTCATGATGACTCTTCGATTTCAATCCCTCAATAATCAATTCTTCATACGTTCATTACTAATCGGTATCATGAGTCTCGACGCTTTGCCTTCAATTCTTCAATCTTCATACGCTTAGATTATCAATCTTTTCCCTTCTTTTGAGTTCTACCTTCTCCAACCAAAGATTGGGGTTGGTTTCAGATTTTCAGTTTCCGATTTGAGGGGTTGAGGCGTTGTTGAGCGATAGCAGAGTAAGTTCTTTATGATCATGTTTGTTTAGTATTTTGTTGTTAAACTTTGTATAGATCATATGAATTTCATGCTTCTCTTTGATTATTTGTTACTTTATGACTCTATCGAACTTCAGTGATTTCTTTCAAGTTTGAATTTGTTATTTGTGTGGTGTGGCTATCTGTTTTTATCACTGTACCTATACCTCAGAGAGAATTGTTATCATTCGTCTTGATTGAGATAATTATACAAGCTACATATAAGTTGTTGTTTTGTACGCATAGATTACACTTGTTGATGGACTAATGGTCTTAGGATTTTTGGTCTTAGGATTTTAGGTACGAGAGTGAAATTGGGGTTGATGAAAGTGGAAGTTGAGTTACTTAGAATTTAAAAAAGTTCAACTTATTTTGAACAATATATTTGTTGTAATTGTGTTTTATTCAAACTTTGAACAATTTGGTTGTATTTGTATTTGTGGTTGTGTTATGTTTTATTCAAAAAAGTTAAATACTCTAGTTCTTTTTTTATTTAAAAATTTAAAATTAAATGGGTCAACCTAGGTTCGCCTCATTTATTTAACAGGTTGGGTTAAGAAATCGTAAACCAGTCAACCCGCTGTCAACCCATTAACCCAACAGGTTGGGTTGGGTTGAAAAATCTCAACCCATTTAATTAAATRGGTTGGGTTGGGTTGAGATTTTCAACTTGTTTAATAAATGGGTTGAACCCAAACCCAACCTGACCCATTGCCACCCCTAGTTCTTGCATTCTGATTGATTATGTGCGATGTTGTAATCT